AAACCCTAAACCCTGAACTCTAGATATTGAACCTAATAACAACTAGAGCCAGGGCTTTGCCTGGAGCTCTTCCTGCCTTGGGCCATTCAGCGCGTTGCCCTCAGCTCTGGCCCAGGGTTTTGGGATTAAGGTTCAGCGTTTGAGATTAGGGCTTAGGGTTTAGGATTTAGGGTTTAGGGTTTAGGGGTTTAGGGTTTAGCGTATGTGGTGCCAAATACAAGGGATGCAATATTAGAAGAATGGAAATGGAATCTTAATGTTTCCTGGGGGGTACATAGAGAGGCCGGCTAAGATTTCTAGGGTGTACAGAGATAAATCATGGTATATCAGTATATACAGGCTTATATAGGGTTTTCGGATATAGAATATGTAATCACAATACTTGATAACCAAATGGAGAAGAACATGGGAAATGAAATGGAAACTGGGGTTAGAAAGTGTTTTATCCTGTTCATGGGTCTCCACAATTTAGGGCTCCTTTTTGGGAGGCACCACATGTAAATTAGATGATCGTCTTTTGGAAACTCCCATGTGGGCCTTCGATACGAATAGGTCCAAGTTAGAGCCTGATATGTGCATCGTTCAGGCCGGACATACATTAACACTCGCAGAGCCAAAATATATGCAGTCTCTCGGAGTTCTTAGGGAGCCGTTGGATTTATGGTGAATGTTAGGACGTGTGTTTTTGCAGAAGAAGGCTTGGGAGGTACGACCTCAGCCTAGCAGTTTAGGGTTTACGGTCTGTTCGCGGCCCCAGGCGTCACCGCCTGGCGGATTTTCACATGCCATCGCGGCACATCACATCAGAAACTGGTGCAGGTTGTTTTCCTCTTTTCCATTCCCGAATACTCCTACGCAACCCCTACTGTATTTCAGAAAGATGGAGCCTTCACTTACCAACTGGCGCACTTTTTTGAAGCCACGAGAGGTGACAGCCAGCGGGGGTCTATCAAGCATAGGTACCAGTGCTATTGCCACAATTCGCTCATTGTTTACTTCATCCCGCATATACCCTCAATCTCTCTCTCTCTCTCCCTCTCTTTTTCGTCCTTGTTTCTGGGACTCATTCACAGACACCCGTTGGCCTGAAGCCTTTTTAATGACGTTACTCCATACCGTTAGGGACCAATATACGGCAGCATTTGGTATGGATCCAGGCTTTGGCAATTGGCGTCTTAACCCTGTATAACCCTATATATGCGATGTAAAGGGCACCCAGCAAGAAAAACTGTGCCAGAGCTTCGGCTGCATGCTGTGGCACAAGTTGGGCTACGTCTCTCGAGTCATTTTAATGACCCCACCATCACTGTATCTTCATCCTACATAGCCTTTATATACGTCCTTGTCTGCCGAAAGAATCCCTAGATACGCCTTGCGTAGGGGTACCCGCCTGGTAGCTCCTCTCCTGATGTTTCCCCCAACCTACCGGTGCTCAAGGAGGAGTACGGGAGTGGGGGAGTGGGGGAGTGAATAGAATTGCGTACCATTATGGGTGTTTCTATGGGAATGAGACAGGAATTATTATAGGGATCCACTCCCCTTTTTTAAGCACCAGGAAGTCAAGCTACTTGGTGAGGTCTGCGCCATCTATCGGTTCTGCAGCAGCCTCCGCCTCAGGTCTGGGTTTTTTTGGTTTAGTGCTTAGGGAACCCCAAAAAGTTGGCTTGCATAGATTACTGTCCTTTTTATGGGGTTCCATGCTAGTTAGTCGGAAAGCAGAATGCGCGACTGATCTTTCCTCATAGAGCATATTCGAAAATGCGACCTTAAACCGCATAAGCCGAGCAAGGTTGCAAATAGGGGCCCTTATCCTCATAATCATAATCCCTTAATGGGACAAATCCCTAAACCTTAAACCCTATATAGCCCCATTACAGTAGTTTCCATCATTCCATTATCTCTGTGTTGAAGCCCTTCCCATGATTCCATCATGACTCCATCGAAGTTGACCGCAGGCCGTGAGGACCGTACTCTGATTTTCAGCGCACTTGGTTGGTTCAAACTAACGTATAGTGGCAATCCAGGGATTCCACCCCAGGCTGTAGAATGCAAGGGTTTAGGGCGTAAGATAGTGAGACAGTGGACTTGAGGGTGCCCATACTTGTAAGCTTAATGCATCTGGCGCAAGAAGCCTCTCTGCAACTGAATCCTATTGAGTTTCATCTCAGCTCTCTAAACCCTCAACCCGCAGGGCCTGCAAGCCTAAGGTGCCTTACTTGGTGGCTTTCTCTTTTGAGATGAAGATTGAGGTTATGGTTTGGGGTAAGAGTTGTTGGTTCCTTGCGCACCGCACTGTCTGAAGATCACATGTCCACAGCACTACGTGGTTCAGGATTTTGGGTTCAGGGTCCCATTCTACCTCCACTTGCCCGAAAGTCTTCAAAGTTCCTACCATATTTTTCCTGCTACTACACCGCCGCGAAAGCAAAAACACTGCAACGGAAAAAGTTATCCACCGCGGGTTGAGTAGCGTGCGTTCCTTTGACGACATGGCGATAAGATGTTTTGTTCCACTGGTCTATAACCCCGAAAGCCGTGCCAAAAGAAGCCCCAAACTCCAGGGCAGAGTCACTCCGCATCTTTAGCAAACAGAACCACACGGAACCTACGACAAACAATAACAAAAATCAACATGCACACAGCTACGGGAATCAGATTCAATTTTCTCAGAACCTCGACGCCTTGTAATCAGCCTGTTTGACCAAAATCCTGTGATACCGAGAAAGGTTGGAAGAATTCCTAAGCTCCCACAAAACCCTTTGCACCTCCACCTGAACTTATGTAGGTTACCCCCCATATTCTATCAACTTAAGGGGGACTTTAAACCTACGAGTGCTCAGATGCTCTCGCTGCGGAACGTGGCTCCTCTCACCATGCCCCAAAGGCGCTGCTGGGGCACATAGGGGCTAAATAAAGGGGCGATATAGGGGATATATTGAAACAATGGAAAAGAAATGGAAACTTGTATTTAAGGTTTAGGGTTTAGGGTCAGCCTTTGGGGTTGCGAGGGATTGGCTGCACTGGGTCATTGCTTGAGCATCGCTCTTTGGGAATTCGTATGTACCACCACAGCAGGGAATGTAAAACTTGCAGCTTGAGATTGTCCCCAGACCAGCAGGGGTTAAGAGATCTTGCAGGGCTCAGATGGAGTCCCTAGGGTCGCCCTGTTTTGAAAAGAGTCCTCAGGCCCACTCGCAGGGTGTAGGGTTTCGGGGTTCTTCACCCGCCATACCCCCAATACAAACCATACCAGGGGCGGAGCTACCGAATTGTGAGGCACCCGAGTACTGATGATGTTGATCAGCAGCCTGCTGATGGCAAGAACATGTTTCAGAGTTGTTAGAGTAGTATCAGAGTTTCACATTGCATGTAAGTGCAGATAGTAGATCCCTATGCCGATCGGAGACCATGGCAAACTTGAAACCTTGAAACCTCAAACAACAGAAGTAATCCCCGCCCCTATTTCTCGAAGTTTCTGAGATGCAAAAAGCAGATATTCCACCTACATATAATGGTGCTGTGATAGGGCTACTGCCAATATACATCTCTCTCTCTCTCTCCCCCCCCTATGCGCGTGTATATATATATATATATGTACATATACCCCTTTGCAAAGGTGGGCGTTTTGTTATTGGGGCCTGAACCCTAAACCCTAAAGCCCCAAACCCTGAACCCATTAATTTCCTGGCAGGCGGGCGCCACCAGGCGCGGGGCCACTTAACAAGGCGTGGGGAGGGGGGTGCCGTCGATTGTCAGTTGTAGGGTTTGGGATTCGGGGTGTAGGGGTTAAGGGTTTAGGTTTTAGAGTTTAGGATTTTGGGATTTGGGGTTTAGAGGTTTGGGTTTAGGGTCATTTTAGAGTTTAGGATTTGAGGTTTGGGGTTCAGGGATCAGGGTTATGGTATTTTCCGGATGTGCGGTTTAGGAAGTACATGACATCAATATGTTCGAGGCGTTGCTTTGGCTTATGACTCCTCACCCTTTGCCTAACCTGGACAATTATAAGAAGTCTCACAAGACCACAGCAAGGGTTGCTTGTCGCTAAAGATCATGTTCCCTCCTTTTGAGGCGTATTCCCGGAACATCCCGGAACCAGAAGTCCTAAACTCCTGCGGATCCTAAAGCCGTGCACTTCAAACCCCACTCCCTAAACCGTTTTTTAAATCACTAAGATGATTGACCCCGACACCCATGTTCTGTCTGTCCAAGCCACTAGAATCCCACACCCTATATACTCTCACTAGTGCCTAAGGGCCGGTGCTGGAAGGGATCTGTGAAGTGAGTTCTCCTTCTATAACAGTAGTTATGTGTCATCAACCATCGCTTTTAAGCACGGGAAGCCCTCAACCCTAAACCCTAAAATCCACAATACAAGTAGTTTCCATTTTCTTTTGCATTCCTAACCGTAATTTACATATGGGATGTTGCTTTCCATTCCTAAGTCATGAATAATCTAGTACTTTAGGGTTTAGGGTTTCGGGGTACTTTGATCCCTAAACCCTAAACCCTAAACTCTCGGTCGTGGCAGGTTGGTCGGCGAGCTATGGGCGCTGAACGCCCTGGGCGGGATTGGCAGAGCATGGGCAGCTAGGTTCCCCAGGCCCTCGGCACCTTGCAAGTATGAAGGAATCCTCAAGGGAGCCAGCTTCAAGGGGTAATACTAGTACTAACAGTAATAAGTAAGTATATGTAAGAATAGAAATGATAGCAGTAGTAGTTATAATCAACAGTAGACATGACAGTAAGAATTGTCATACTAGTAGTAATAGTAATCATATGTTCCAAAATCCTGCATCTTATTGCCAGCTGGCCTGCAAGCCCCGCAGCCCGAACCCTAAAGTGTTGGCTTGACACTTGGCTCCAGTACGCGTGGAACAGGCGAACCGCACACAGACCGTTCATGAAAGGCGCATTCACGGGGGGGAACTCATGTGCCCCAAAAACCTGAAGGAACCTTAGTTTTCTTGTCGCGCCAGATCACGGCTTCCGAAGTCCCACATTTTCAGGACATACAGACTAAGGCCCAAGATGCTATCCTCAAACTTTTCCATACCGCGCTGGACCTCGTAGCCAGCTTGAAGGTATGAACGGTGAGAGAGACCCCAAAACCACTAGTCAGGTGGCACTCTGTGATTATTACGTATTTTCTCTGTTGTGGTAGAAGCTGCCATATTTATCCATATTTGTGGGGGCCAATGAATCTAAGGTTAGAAGTTTGGGCCCCAGGGGATTATAGAGACCCGTAATTCTGGATACATGTAGTGTATATAGTAGGTAGATGAGGATCCCAGGGCCAAGGGCCCAGACTAGGGGCCCATGGTTTCAGCGTTGGATTGAAGTACCAACCAGCTAGGCATCCCTCCTAAACGCTAAATCGCGTTGGGCGCTTCAACTCTTTCCTCCGGCCTCTCGGCTTCTGGATCCCAATGTGGCAGCCATGCATCAGCAATTGCGGTGTGACTTCGGGTAGAACTGTATATACCTAGTTGCGTTACGGCTCTTCTGATGTTGTTCAAACAGTCGCATTCCCACCCGATACTCGTGCCAAACCTTTTTGTCCGCAGCATCCTACATTTACGCCTCTTCCATTACCATTTAGCAGTTCGTCGTCAAAATTACAGTTTCCCAAAGTTGGGGGACCCCAGCATAGATCCCCAACACTTTAATCTTTATCATAGGGACCCCGCAAACGGCACTCCTTATTTTGGAACCCCCCCCTTTATGTATCCCCATATATATTCCTTGAAGCCCCCTTAAGGGCAGGTGCTTCTTCACTGTGGTGTAGTACTGCCTGGCAGCTGACCTGAAGGCACAATTCGGATGTTGGAGGGATATTTGGGGGTTCCCCAATAGGAGCATTTAGGGTTTAGGGTTAGGGGTTCCCCAAATTAGGGGTACCTTTTTCGGGGTCCATGTAATAGGGATTCCAGTATTTTGTTGTCCATATTGGGGGTCCCCCTGTTTTGGGAAACTACCATATTTCTGAGCGTCAGCTGTACAACACCTTGGGAACAGTACTCGGCAGGTTGGTATTAGATCGATTTTTCTCAGTAGGTCATTGAAGTTCTAACACTTCAGTCGCTGTACAAAGGGCCACGGCGACATGTTTGGTGGGACTTTGGCAAGAACCTTTTGGCTCCGGCCAACGAGGCAGGTCATTCTAAGTACAGGCTTTCATGTGATTGCTGGCCATGAAGCGCCGGCTACTGCTCGCGTTCACTCTGCTTTGGGTTGCACGTTCGTTCAGAGTGGAGGGGGACCCTGACTCCCTGGATGTGGACGAGGACCACCACTCTGTGGAGCCCCAAGCCCAGCTCCGCAAGAGCCAGGATCTCATGGCCAGAGTCGCCAAGCAGGAACACCAGATGCCCTTTTGCCTGGTGTTCTTTAGCACAATCTCCAAGCTGCTTGTGTTGCTTCTGGCCCTTGGCCCGGAGGCGGTGCGGAAAGAGGAGCCTACCAGTGGTTGGGGAAGATTCAAGGCAAATGCTAAGGTGGCATTCCAGTGGTTCCTTCTGATTCTCTTCCTGGCGGTGGTGGTGATGGATGTCGTGGGGCTTTGGAAAGTCTTTCGCCTCTGTCGTGACAATGGCATCAGCTGGCTGTGCACATTCGCTGCGGTTGTAATTAGAATGTCAATGTCTAGCAATGCGCAGACGGCTTTTGCGATGAACGGGCTGGCCGTGACCTACGACCACCACTTATCGTTTGCTCAATGCCACAAAAGCAGTAAGCAATATGTCCCAGAGCCAGGTGCCATGCAGCAGCTGATGATCACGCAGAAGGGCTGGCCGGCTTGGATATTGTACCAACTCGGCATGTGCTTCTATATGCTCAACATGACGCTGCTGGTGCCAGCAGTCGTTGTCCTGATAAGTCTACTACTGGGGTGGGTCCCATTTGTTATATTTGGTTCTGCATCTGTGTTGGCAAAAGCCTTCCACTGGTGTGCCATGAAGAGAAGTGACAAGGCGACATATGAAGCGCTGCCTTTCAACAAGTATGAAGATGGAGAGTATGAGAACATGCGAAATCTCTACCGCCACATGGTGCGTGGAGCGCAAAACTCGCACGTACTTGCTGGGATCAACCTCCAAAAAGATGCGACACTCCAGTCAAAGTACCGCCGTGACCTTGCAACCTACAAAGAACTTGGCTCAACAGAGGCTGGCATTCTGAATTTTGCAGGCTGGCAGCTTGGGGGCCCATTGGCTTTCGCAACAGCCGCACTGATGGCTAGCCGCATGCTTGCATGGCTGCAGTTCGGAGAGCACTCGTGGGGTGCCTTCAGAACAGAGTACTGGCAAGCGGTATTCACATTTGGCGAGCGTCACTGGTGGTCTTACCGGGACTACATACTCTCGTGCAAGGACGACGTGATCTCCACGTGGGGCCGGACTCCAGCAATTGCTGCCAAATTAATTGACGTCGTAAGCAGAGTGATATGAGTGAGAGCCCGCTGCGCGCGTGTCCATATCTGTGTACAGTACACTAGTGGCAACCGCAGGCTCATGCGCGCGCGCTTTTCTTGGAATGTGCCTGCCGGTCTGTGCTGATCGGGGTGCTTGGGTCTTCCCAATCATTGCTGTAGACCACAGGCTGCCTAGCTTGAAGTGCCCGCGTCGGACTGAGAAACAATTCAGTTCTGGGGTTTTGCCTCCGAGGGTTTTTCCAGTGTCATGTCAGCCCAGGTAATCATGCAAGGGCTTTTGACTTTGTCCAGCGTGCCTCAGAAGAAGCATGCTTGAACCATTTCTCCTGCCTTCCCGTACGATGTGCCTGGCTAATTCAGTACCTCAGGTGGATGAGGCACTGAACTCGCCAGAGGCCCAATCAGCAAGAAGTTGCAAGTGAAGACTGATTTCTCATATTTCACTTTTGCGAATCTTGGAGTTCTCGTCATTTTGCGCTGTTTTGAGGTACCCTTCACCTCAATTGTACAAGGAATCTAGAACCACAATATTGAGCACAGTTGGCCCCGCAAACATGCAGCAGAAGCCAGGAAAACATCGAACTCGACTTCTGGAGCTTTACCGAGGGTGCGCAGGGCCCGGTTGTTCTACACAGCTCAGAGGGTCCATGTGTACAAAATGTGGGCAGTCTAAACTCCTTCAAGGGGGACTATATACTGTAGGGGATCATATATAGGACTACTATAGGGAAAATTCAGCGGAATACTAGGAGTTTTGACAAGGGCTCATATAGTGACTCATTGAAGCTAGAGGGTTCATGTCATGAGTACCCCGCAAGGGCTTTACAGGGCCCCGCCACCTGCTTCATGAAGCCCCCAGATGGTGGCAGAACGGACTTCATTACAAGAAAGAGGGTAGTGAAAGTGCAGGATACTATAACATACAATAATATATTACAATCTACAGTAATATGCTACAATATACGTTAGTATACTATAATATACTATAGTATGTTATAATATACTATACTATGTTATAATACACTATAATAAACTGTGCGGCCTTCTAGGTGCAGAATATCAGATTTGAGAGTCAGTAGTCTGAAAATCAAGCAGAGTAATCATAGCAGCAGAACATTTCAAGCTGTCAGCTTCTGTTCACCCTCCATACAGTTCATGGGTAAAATCCTGCATCACCGTAGTGAAAACTAAACCCGAGTACTTGTGGAAGCACAATACGTCCAAGTTCGTGCGAGATTTTGTCATTGAACAGCTGCCAGATTGTGATGGATAGTTTCAACTTGTGCCCCTGCTTGAAGCAGTTGGCGATGAAACCTAAAACCCAAAGCCTTAACTTACGGGTGGTTAGCACAGAACTGGACTGACCAAGAAAATGGGAACCACAATATTCTTGAGGTTTATTTAGGGACTATAATGGAGATCCTTTCCTATATTCACCACTAAACACCAGCAAGCTAAACAAAGAGCCCGGGCGGGAAACTCAAGGGGAACATGAACTAAAGATGGGGCCAGAGGCCTTCCCTCCACAGCACTTTGAAGCTTGCTGGCAGAGATCCAACCTTCAGACCTCAAACGATCCTCCTGGCAGGACGCAACCTCCAATTTCCATTTGCGCAGCTTTCCGATCTGGTTCTGCTTTCACCCTAAACCCTAAACCCTAAACCCAACCTGAATTCCGGCATGTGGGCATCTCAAACTGCCGCTTCAAGAGCTACTCCTACTTGTATTCGAGCAGTTGCAGAGGCATGTCGGGCTTCTGCGCTTACTGATTTGAGGTTGATTGTTAAGACTAACCTTCAAGTAGAGTTGACAACAGCTTGCGAAAGAATGTCAAACCGTCTTGGTGCTCATTAGCCACCTCCTGGCAAGGCAGCATTTCTGACAACTAGCGGCTGGGTCTCAGTGCAATTAAAGGTGACATACGCCTGATGCATGATAGATGCCTGAAAGCGTAGTAACAGCATTCCGTGTGATACGATCATGTGCCCCTAAAACCCTGCTCTAATACCACCAGTTGTGGGTCAAGGTTTTCTTGACTGGGGTTGGATACTGCCCCCGATCCTGGATCATAAACTCATCATGGATGTAGCATGTGGCGATTAATCATGCTCAAGTGGTAGTTTCCCGAAATGGGGGACCCCAAAATAGACCCCAAAATGTTACGATCCTTAGTACTGCGACCCCTATAAGGTACCCCTAATCTTCGGAAACCCTCAAGTGAAGTCTGTTACTGGGTGGGGGGGAGGATCCAAGTTTAGAGGGTCTGGGTGCTCGGTAAGGCCAGAGCCCCTGGGATGTCCCTAAACCCTAAGACCTAGACCCTAGACCCTTAACCCCAGACCCTAAAACCCTAAGTCCTAGATCCTACCTTGCTTTGTTGCTACGTCTCATGGGATGAGGATGCTGATGTTGCAACTTTCTGGCTTCCACTTCAAGTGTTTTAGGGGAAGCCATATTCTATCTACTTCAGGGGACTAAAATCAGAAATCCCTAAACCCCTTAATCCTTTTCTAACCCCATTATTGTAGTTCCCGTTTTATTTTCCATTATCACTATATGATATCACTATATGAGCCCAATATAACCCCTATATAACCCCCATATAACCCCGATATAACCC